GCGCCGTCGGGTCGATCTCGTCGAACTTCCACTCATCATTTCTGATGTTGCAGTGGCTGAGCCAACCTGCCAGGTCGGCCTCAACTGCAGCTTTCGATACCAAAGCTTGAGCCCGCACCACCACGATCGAGGTGCCGATCTCTCTGCCGAACGAGCTGGAGCCGAGGAGCGCCAGAGGGCGCGGCGGCTCCTCCCGTTGCACCATGCGCAGCTCCTCGCGGATCTTCGCCAATTGATCTTCCCCGCTGCCCAACCTGCGCCCCTGCTGCCATTGAGTCGTTTCCACAGCGCCGATTCGCCGTTCCATCTGCGAACTGAACTCGGTGAGGGGGGAGGTGGCGTTGGTAGAGAGCTGGCCCAGGGAGGGGTTGATATTCGTCTGCACATCCGCGATCGACTTCGCAAGGCCTGCACGCACGTTGTCGATGTAGGCCTGCATGTTGAACGACTGCTGCTGCTGCTGCCCATCGAGAGGGGCTCCGCCAGGAAGAAATGAAATTCCGTGTCCAGAGAGGGGCTGCTGAAGCTCAGATTGCTGACTGACGAGACCGAAGACAGAGCACCTCGGGGAAAAACACCACCTTGTACAACTCCACTGGCTGCACCACGTTCATCCGCTGAACCATCAGGCTGTCTTTCGAGGGCATTGCGCTTTCGGCCGTCGGGCTCGTCATCAGAGTTGTCACGACCAGAGCCAGGACCAGGAGCAGCGCGGATAAGGGTTCCCACTTGAGAGGGGAAGGTCGGCATCTGCTCGAGCTGTCCCGCCAGCTCGGGGTCCGCCGCCAGGAGGTCCCATCTGCTGCTGCTGCTGAGCGGCTCCATGATACATGGCGCCGATGCAAACGGAGCTTCAGGAGAGTGGTTCGATACACGAAGCATTGTGCAAGAGGGGAACACCAAACGCCGCGCGAAAGCAGAGGCCCCTGTCCAGTGGGGCGTCACCGGGGCCTCGGGAGCAGCGGTCACCCTGGACCAACCTCGAGAAATTGTGTTTTGAGCAAAAATGGCTTGAGCCAAAATGGCTTGAGCCAAGATGGCTTGAGCCGAGATGGCTACGGACCTCCTCCTCCTCCTCCTCTCCCTCCTCTCCTCCTCTCCTCCTCCTCCTCCTCCTCTTCCTCCTCCTCCTCCTCCTCCTCGTCCTCCCTCCTCCCTCCTCTTCCTGCTCCCCCTCCTCCTCTTTGCGATTTTGCATCATTTACTTCGGAACGGCGTTCCCGCTCAAGACTTCCTCGCAATTGAATCGAGATTGCCTCGCAATTGGATCAAGGCCCCCGCTCCCGCCAGAGAACCATTCACGTTTGATTCGAGAATTGCGTTCTCGCCTGTGACTTCCATGCGACGCGTTCAGAAATCGCGCTTTCGACGCTCAAGAAACACGTTGCGCCAAGGACGCCGCTACAGTATCCATCCCGCTTGCACGTCGCACCCGCCCGACCCGCCCGTCAGGGGATCGCCCGCCCGTCGTGGGCCCCCGCCCGAGACTTCCTTCAGGAACGGCGCTTTCGCCTAGGACTTCCTCGAACGTTCACGCTCTTACCTTCCTGCTCCTCCTCCCTCTCCCTCTTCCCTCCCCCCTCCTCGTCTTCCCTTCTCTCTTCCCTCATCCGTATGCCTCTTTGCCCTATCCACTCTTCCCTCCTCTCCGTCTTAGCTTCTCCCTCCCCTCTCCTGCCTCCTCCCTCCCTCTTTCTTTATTTATCCCCCCTCTCTCTCTCTACCTCTCTTATATGTATTTCTCTCTCTCTCTCTCTCTATATATATATATATATGTATTTCTCTTTCTCTCTCTCTCTCTTTTGTTCTCTCTCTCTTTCTCTCTCCTCCTCCTCCTCTGCCTCTAATCAACCGCCCCCCTCTTCGCTCCTTCTCTCCTGGCGTTTACCCTGTTCCTTCGTCGCTCCCCATCCCTTCCTCCCACTCTCCCTCGTTCTCCCCCTCCTCTTTTTGCAGGGCCCACACAAATCCCAATGGCGGGCACATGTACGCCCACGAAGGATCGTCCGCCCGTTCAAGTTTGCCCGCCTTTCTAAGCCCGCTGCCCCCCGCAAAGAAAAAGAATCCCCCCAAAGGGGGTGTAATCGAAGACAAAAACGGCGGGTATGGAGGGTGTGGGGAACTCGATTTGAATGTCACACGGGCAAATAAAAGCGACCAATATTACGATGATTGTTGTTGAAGACTCACTTCCGCGCGCTCTCACCTCGACGCCGGCTACATATTCTTTGAAAACGAGGCTCCCGCTCGAGCGATAGCTTGAGCCTGAATGTGGGCCCTTGGAGGCCCAGCTACGACAACAACGGCTCCCGCTTGATTTTTCCTTACAATTTACCCCGAGACACCCTGGCCCGAGAGGCCCCCGAACTCTGGAACGGCGCTCTCGCTCGAGACTTCTTCGCACTTCAATCAGTGGCCGACAAAGAAGAGATTCCCCCCGGAATGGGGTGCAATCGAAGACGAAAATGGGGGGTACCGAGGGTTGGGGTATGCGGAATGCAAGACACGCGTGCCAGTAAGTCTTAAGGATTGTTGCTGTTGTTGCTGTTGTAGTGCAGGGGCCAGGGACGCAGCCTGAGGGGCAAAAGGCCCCAGCGCAACAAAAACAAGGCGCGATCCTTGGGAGGGCACTTCAATCATCTGGACAGCGGATCCCCAATTCGCCCGCGCACCAAAGTGCAAAACCGCTTGGCCCTCTCACTCTGATGCTGGAAATTCGGCGGTGGACAAACCTCCCTTTAGTAAACATCCCTTTAGTGAAAACGGCCTCGGACCGAAACCGACGGACCTGGACCCGCAAGAATGACGGCCACGACGCCCTCTCGCGGACCGAAAACGGCAAGTTCGCTAATCGGCGTGTCAGGGCAGGAGGTCTACCAACCTCCGAGAAATCCGTGCCCCTGGCCTTGGAGACGCCCCAGGCTGCGCGGGCGCGGCGGTGGCGCACCTCTGGTCCTCTGGTGCTCGTCTGTGCTTCGGCTGGGTGTCCCTAACACGCCGTGCGGCAACAGACCGTGCGGTGACCTTGGACTCCCCGAAGACCTCACCGCACGGTCCGTCACCGCGCGGTTCTGGGACCTCGGAGGCCCAAGTCCCAAAACCGCGCGATTCTGGAGCCTCGGACGCCCCAATCGCCAAAGACGTCCTCGGAGAGCGACCAACGTCACAAAACCGTGCGGCGACCTCGAATCCCCACGGACGGCATCACAGCGGCCCTCCTCCGGATCCTGCGTGGGTCAGAACTCGGGTCGCTGGCCGCCACTCGGAATGATCCAGGCCCGCCCAGCGCGGGGAGCAACTGCCGAAACGCATCCGGAGGCAGGGACGTCCCCAGGAACTGAATAAAAAAGTGAGCAACCCCAGAACCACCGCGCGGTGTGGTCACCGCGCCGCCTGGAGGCCCCGGACTCGGGCCCGGGCTGAAGCTCTCGGCCCAGAATCCCGGGGAGCCTCGAGTCGGCGGCCGCATGAGGGAGGCGAGGGAACACGAGGGAGAGGAATGGACAACCACATGTCTTGAGAAAGGACTGGCCGTCCTGGCAGCAAGCCTGCCACGACACGTCCTGCTAACAGAAGCATGCGCTCAGAACATTACCCGGGACGTGCCCCACCCTTTCTCCACGCGAGGCGACTATCTCTATGTGCGCCTGGATCTGCGTGACAACCGCCTCCGCTGCGCCTACAAGGAGCTCGCGAAAGAAGCGACAATTGCTCAGCTTGCAAGGATCAGAGAACCGTGAGGTCCCGCGCGAATACCACATCCGCTGGACCTCCCAGGAGCCCACGACAGTGGCGACAGCTGCGCAATTGGCCGCATCCCTTGGAGCCGCGAGGTCTCGCGTGACAACCGCCTCCACTGGACTTCCCTAGACCCCACCAAAGCGGCGACAGCTATGCAGTTGGCAGCCTCCCAGGTGGCCGCGAGACCTCGCGTGATTACAGGCCTCCGCTGGACCTTCCCAAATCTTTTGAAAGTGGCGACAGCTGCGCAGTTGGAAGCCCCCCACTAGGAAAGGTACGAGGAAGGGAGGCAACGAGGCAAGAGTAAGAGGGAGGGAGGAGGACGAGGGAGGGAGGATGGTGACCAAAGTGCTCTATGCAAAACGAGAGCCCACCAAACAGGAGGTTGGGGGACAAAAGCAACGTTCTTGGGACATAAAGCCGATGTGTTAAACAAAGGCGGTCTCAGCCAGAAATGTTCTAAAAACAATGCGTGCAAACCACAAAGAAGGTTCTTTGAAAACTGTTTGACGGGCCCAAATGCGAGTCAGAATACCTCGCCACTGTTCGAAGATCGGCGAATCAAGAATGGACCCCTGAGGGATGGGGCCCAAGGTTTGAGGCACCTCTTCTCAACGTCCCATCCCTCAGGACAAAATAGTTTAATTACTGAACATGTGAACTCTCCCCCTGCAAATCAAGGCGTCTGACAAAAACCGGCTTGGGTTCAGAATTTGACGGAAGTCTGCAACCGAGTAAACCCCAGCAGGGGGGGACCGATACCCCAGCGTCGATCGGGGGCCCACAGGGGTACGGATCGCAGGTGGTCTCGGAGGAGCATCGCTCAGCGTGCCCAAGCCGTCGCCACTCGCGGAGCATAGGTTCGAACCCGAGTCGGACAATCGCACACTGTCTTGGAGCAACATGTTCACCTCCTCCCCCCCGTAGGGCCCTCCTCTCTCATGCTCCCCCCAATTCTCGACGACCTGGCCGCCACCGCTGGGCCGATACGCAAAAAGCAGTACAAGCATGAGCAGTCGGAGCTCCGCGCAGATTTCTGAGATAAGCGCTGAGCCTCCCTTCCCGGCGCGCAAAGCGAGCCAGGGGCGACAGCAAGGGTGCCCAGCGCCGATCCAAAAAATCCACGAGGAGCTCCGAGAGCTTCTGTTGATGCAATGTCTTCCTCGTCGATGCTCCCCTCCACTCCCCACGAAATGGCCGCCACACTGGCATGGGCCGAAGAATTTCACGAAACCGCCCAAACAAAAGCAGCTGTTCTCCTGCCGGTACAGGAGGAAGTTGGCCTGCGCCGACATCGAGAAGACAACACACAGGCCAGAATCGCACTGGATGGCGGCCCTGTTGGGAAAACCAAATGATATCGAAACTGCTGCTCCCCCGACCTCACCTGAGGTGCGTTCTGACCATAATTTCACGGCGATTCCAGCGGTGGCGACGAGGGCCTCCCAGAGGCCAGCGAAACGGCGAAAACGAGGAAGGGTCGCGGTATTGGCACAAGTCCTCCTCTGACCTGTTGAGCTGCCCGATGGCAGTGCCCACGGAGCTCACGGTGCTCTTGTCGAAGCGCAGGGCCCGCTTCACCTCGCGGCGGGACGAAGAAAAGTCAGGCGGTCGACACGCCGCAGGCGTGCGACGGCAGGTGCAAGGAGCGATCGCTGACTTGGCACGACAATCGGAACCACACGGCAACCCTGATATCCTGGCGTCTCATTTGTAATGAACCGGGCGTTTTCGCCCTTGCTGGGCCCTTGGGCCCTCACATGCAGCAGAACGATGGGGTCTAGGGCTCTGGTTGTTGTTTCAATGCTGCAACGTTCTCCGCGTCGTCGGATGTCAACGGACTCTGCACGGAATCGCAATCCCCTGCGAGTAGAATAACACAGCACACTGGCGTGGAAACCCTGAACGGCAACGCTGCATGGGAAGGCGCATGGAATCCGAAAACTAAGCATGACTTAAGCACGGCACGGCACGCAGGCACGGCACGCGGGCACGGCAAGGCACATGCCTCGCACTCCAAAGCTCTGGCATGGCACGGCAACGGGGCACAGCACGGTACGCGGGCATGGCACGCATTCTTTATAAGTCAGACACGGCACGGCACGTGAGGTGCACGCGGGCACGGAATGGCACGGCACGCGGGCACGACACGGCAGATTATGGTTGCGCGCTCCGGTTTCAAAGACGCGCTCCTATGATGCAAATGACACCACTATCGCACTCGTTGTTTATTAACTTTGGGCAGTCCGCGCGGATTTCGTGGATCGGCGCTGCCCCCCCCCCCCGCGCGCGGAACGCGCTGCTAGACGCGGCGCTGGAGGCGCCGTCAGGGAACCCACCGCAGATCCAGGAAATCAGCGCGGGCCTTCGACAGCAAATGTTTAACGTCGTTTTTTGGCGGCGCGCCCACGAGCGAAAGCAGAGGGGGCGGCCCTTCTCAGAAGACTCGGAAGGCCTCCGCCCCCCTGAGAAGCTTCCGAGGCGGGAGAGTCACCGCCTTCTGAAAATGTCGGCCCTCGCTCTTTGCCCCTCGCGGTGCAAGGTAAAGTTTCTGTATTTTGGAGGTCAACGCGGAATCGCCAGCCTCAGCGGGGACGGGTGCGAGGCGTGCACAGATCCATATCCACCGTCTGGGAGCCGACGTCTTGGGACTCCCCAGGACAATGCAAATGGGCAGGCGATCTATATATATATATATATATATATATATATATATATATATATATATATACACGTATACAGATTGTACACAACATAGATGCCCACACGTCCACATCAGTATCCATACCCATGGCCAGCCGAAGTCCCCAAATATCGAAACCCCATACAATGAAGGCACCAACCTCAGGAACGATGGGACGGAAACCATTTTTTCCAAGTGAGTCCATGGAGCTCGAAGGACAGGCCGAGCACTTTTCTAGCGGCCTTCCACCACGATTTGCATGTGCGATTCGACCCCCGCCCTCTCTGCCATACTAGCAAGGAACGCCCGCCCCCTCGTCCTCCGCCGCTCCAAGATCGAACACAGAAGAGAAGCCTGCGAACAACGCGCTAGGAGTGGGGGGATGGGGGCGGCATCTGCGAAATGGGATGGAAATGGGGGGGACACGCGAGGGGGGGAGAGGACGAAGAGGAGAAGGACAACGAGCTAGAATTGCGGGGGCTGGATGGCGGTGGAATGACAGCATGAGCGACGCCGAAAATTGTGCCGTATCAGATGGGATCGCGCTGGCACATCCAGACAAATAGCAGCCGCGCGCCCCATTCCATCCCGGATTGCGCGGGCGATCGAACAGCTCTGGCGGAGCGAATCAACCGAGGAAGAGGGGGGTCATAACTGTCCAGACCCCTCGCGGCGGAGCGCGTGCTCACCGACTGCGTTCAGTGGGCACGCTCGTGTTCTCAGGAACGGCGCGCGGCAACTCGCCTGAACAGGTGTGAAACATGCAGCCGTGCGCCGTGTCCGCATGCAAGTGGGGGCAGTGCGTTGCGGTCGAACCACGAGGAAAAGGAGCGAAGCGCGAGGTGTGGATGATGCGCGGCCCGCAAGGATGGCGGGCCAAGGATGCGACGTGACTGTCGACCGGTGAATTCAAACGGCCCCTTGATGGGGGCGCGGCAGATGATGTCATGCGCCGCGCCTCGCCGCTCAGCTCAGTCCCTTTTTGCCCACCAACGTCGCCGTGGGCTGTCATGCTTCGTGCGTGCGTGGCTCAGGCGGCTCGGGCCCGCGGCGGCGCTGTCCGCGGCGGGCGGGGCGTCCTCCTCGTTGTCCGTCTCCTCGTTGACGTCGGCGGCCATGTCGTCACTCTTCTCGCTGCCGTCGGCAGCCTTGTCCGACTTCGCGATGAACGTTGCCGCCCGCCGAGCGCCCCGCACCCTCTTGCTCTCGAGGCCTCCGCGGCGCGGCTTCTTGTAAGACCTCGCGGGCTCGGCCGTCGAAGCATCCGCCGTCTCTTTCGGCGCGCCCTCGCCGCCCTCGACGCCCGCGCCCGCCCCTCGCGCGCTGCCGGGCGCGCCGCGCCTGGCCGCGGCTGCCCGGACCGCCCTGGCAAGCTGGGGCGGGCGCGCAGCGGCGGCCTGGAAGCAAAATGATGGCGCGCCGTGCTCGTGCGGAGGCCCTCGGGGAAGAGGCGGCTCGACTGCCGGCCCCGGCCTGGGCGGCCTGCTCTTCGGACCTGGCGAGAAAGCGGCGCCGAAAAGGACGTCCGGCGGCCCCGTGTCCTGGGCTGGCACGGGGCCCTCGAGCGCGCCGGGCCAGGTTGTCCTCGGCCACGAGTCGCCAGCGGCGGCGGCGCGCGACCCGGCACTCCCCGCGCCGGGGTCGACGCGACCCAGGTCGATCAGCGCCCTCGCCTCGTGCCCGGGCGCGACGCTCTGAAGACAACATCGGCTTGGCGATGTCCTCGGGAAGCGGCTTGGACGCTCGGGGTTCGGCGCGGCAAAGCGGACGGCGCGGGCTGCGTTCGGAAACTCGCTCGGCGCGCGCGGCCTCTCGCTACGATGTCCTCCGCCACGTGGCCCGTCCTCTTCCGGCCCCCCTCGGAATGCGCGACCGGGCCCTCGACCGTCCGCGGCGCTGGCGCCCGCGACGTCCGCGGGCGTCGGCCGCGCCCTGAGTCCGTCGCGGCGGCGGCGACTGCGGCGGCGGCGCGGCGCGGGATTTCGGCTCGGCGGCCGGAGTCGGGCCCGTCATGCGAGGCGCCCGCGGCGGGCGAAGCGCGGCGCCTGCCGCGGCGGGGGCCCCGGCCTAGACGGGGGCGCCCTTGGCTGGCTCAACCGCCGCGCCGCGGAGGCGGGCTGGCGCTGCTCGCCCCAGAGGATGGCGGAGCGGGGGCCGCCAGCTGCGGCGGCCGCCTCCCGCGGCGCGGTCGCGCACGTCGCCCTCGCAGGCGCGCGCGCGGACCGCGCGGATGGCCAGTTATCGCGGTCGCGCGCGCCAGCGCCCGGAGCCGCGCGGGCGGGCCGCGCGCGGGGCCGCTGGCACGGGGCAGCGCGCAGGCCACTGGCCCGCCGGCGGCCCAAGCGCAGGGCGCGCAGACGGGCGCGGACGTCGCGCGCGCGAGTGCGCGTGCACGTTCACGCACATATTGCATGATGTGCTACTGCTCTCACCTCTCCACTTTTCACTGCGACGCAATTCAATAATTCCATCATCTCGTGCTGGTCGCGCCACTTCTTCCAGTCGAATCACGAGGTGCGCGCGCAGCGAGCGCGTCGACCATGGCCACCGCGAGATATGACGCGGGACTTCCCGACGAGAGATCAGGAGCAGGAAACAATTATAGTCAGGCCAAGCTGGAGCGCGGCGGTCACGATCGCCGCGGGCTGGCACCCCCAGCGGGCTTGCGCTCGAGAGCGGATGGCGCGGTGAGCTTGGCCGCAGCTTTGAAGGCTACGGCGCAAGGAGTGCAATTCCTCCGCGGTGCCCGCCAAAGACAGAATGGGGCGCCACGCAGTCGCTGCAGCCCTCCGCGATGGCATCCGCAACCGCGTCGCGGGCGCCCCCTCATCTTGCGGCCGACAGCTGGCCTGGTCGCAAGAAGTCTCGGAGCCACAAGAGGCACGGCAGCGTCAAATGCTCTGCCGGGGGCCCGGGCCCGGTGGCCGTCGCGGCGGCGACATCGCCCGTGGAGTCTAGGCAAGGATCGAGCTGCGCGGCCGAAGCCTGCTGCCCGCGCAGCTGGCACCGCGCGGCCACGGGCCGCGCGGCCCATCGGCCGCCTCTTCAAGTGTCGCGATGATCGCCGGGCCGTGATCCGTGGACGAGATCGCGGCCATCAAATCACTCGTGAATTCTCGCCGCGATGAGAATTCCCCATAGCCGATCTTTGACGTGGCAGGGTCGGGCGCCAGTATTGGCGCAGGGGCTGCAGGGGGGGATGTGGTGCCCCTGCGTGAGAACATTGCACCGCGTTGGGCGCGAACTGCGAAAGCGCGCCTACGTTTGCTCAGTGCAGAACGCCGCATCGGAAAGGAGCATGGCTGCGCGCTGCATGGCCGGGGAGTGGGTCGTCAAAGAATTCGCCTGCGCCCATGTGACCAATGCGTCGAGTTTGCCGATGCGGCGCGCGCGCGCGACGCTGCGCGGCGCTGCGGTGCAACCGCGAAGACGCAACGGTCAACAGATGGGGGGCCAACGCCAATGCCAAGGGCAAGCTGAGAAACAGCTTGGCAGTGAGCCATCGGGCGCGAGCTCAGCAGCTGGATTTCCAGACTAGCTCAACACCACCGATGGGCATGAGGGCCTTTGCGTTGTCGGTCTGGTTCAACTCGCAACCACCATTGCTGGTGGGTCGCAGACGAATGTCGCGCCGCGCAGCATATTCAATCTCCTTCAGAGATATCCAGCCCGCCGTCTCCAACGGCGCCGCCCAAACACTTGCGTGGCCCAGGTCCCTTCAGGAAATCTGGTCACCGCGGTGGCATGAGCGCGTTTGGTCGCCAGGTGGCGCAAATCGCCGTTGCGGCGTTTGGCGATAAACTCGTTGTCGCGAATGCGCCGGGGGCGGCTTGGCGCGCGCCTATGGCGGCTACTGTGACTTGGAAGGGCCAACATCTCAGCGCGCCTTTGCAGGCGG